CTCACAGTGTTGTCATAGCAATTGATATGGACATAATTAGATTTTAACCATATCATACCTAGAACTACGTCCAACCCGACAAGCGGTAAGAAAACAAGATCCACAACAAAGTCTCTATCAAAGATTGATAAATGGAAACTTGCACACACAAAAGAAGTAGTAACCGTTCCCTTAGGCAGAACTTCTACCACCATATCTTTATCCAGAGACGACAAAGTGAGACCCAATCTCTTTACACAATCAGCAACAATAAAACAGTGAGTAGCACCAGTATCAATAATATTAATAAGATGAATGCTATTAATGAAACTAGTACCTCGAACAAGACCATCCTTGTTTACCGTCGGAGCACCCGACAAAGCAAACACCTTTCCCGCTCCTTGAGTTCTCTTAGGCTTCTTACATTGAGCACTAATGTGACCTCCCTCGCCATAATTAAAACAGACCACATTCTTATGCCTACAATCACGAGTCATGTGACCCACTTCACCACATCGGAAACATCTCACCTCAACCCCCTTAGCTCTCACATCGCTTTGACAAACATTACTTTTGTGGCCAGGTTTCCACACTTGTAACAAACAATACTGGCAGGAGCATCTCCCCCACTAGTTCTTCGCCCTTGAAACGCTTTCTGTTTCCCTTTACCAGTTAGAGTATCATATGGTTTTCCACGACTTTGCTGACCTTTGTTTCTCTTATCATACATGATCTTATAATGTGCATTATTGTCCTCCTCAAATATTCTACAACTATCAATCAAATCCGCAAAGACACGGATTTTTTGATATCCCACAACTTTCTTAATCTCAGGACGTAAGCCATTCTCAAACTTAATGCACTTTGAAAACTCGGCATTCGCTCCATCATAGTAAGGATAGAACTTAGCCAGCTCGGTAAACTTTCCAGCATAATCTGTGATAGACATATTTCCTTGTTTCCGCTCAAGGAACTATATCTCCTTCTTTCCTCGAACATCTTCCGGGTAATACTTCCTCACGAACTCTCTTCGAAAAACTTCCCACGTCACTTCCTCACCAGCAACCTCAAGCCTCTGACGAGTTTCAACCCACCAGTCATCCACTTCAGCACTTAATTTATGAGTACCATAACGGATCCTTTGCACAAAAGTGCAATCCATAACACAGAAGATTCTTTCAATCTCCTTCAGCCACGCCAGAGCACCTTCAGGATCATACTTTCCTTGGAAAGTAGGTGGATTCTCTCTTTGGAAGGTTGCCAAACTACGAGACCCAGCGTTCTCGTCAGCATTCGGCGGGTTTTGGAAAGCCTGAGCCATTGTATGCATAGCAGCAGCAAGAGCCCCATCATTACTACCAGCGTTCCTTCCATCCATAACAACTTCTGCTCACAACAAAACAAGGATTAGAATCAACAAATAACAATACTTGATTATTAGACAACAACAAACTCAACAACTTGGCCGGACAGACCAACATGCTCTGATACCACTAATGTAACACCCCAATTCTACCCCTCTTAATTAATAATAAAATCAGAGTTTCAAAATTTCATCCAAACATAAATTGAGGTATCACATATTCGTGTTTTCATCACTTTGCATTATAATGCACATCACAAAAATCAAAAGTCGGATATTCCGATTCATCATAAATAATCATATAAACATATGAATATTCACAGCACAACGGATGTGTTCACAAAATGTACATATCATCATGTTATCATCAATACATAAAGTTATAAAGTCAAAAGATAGTATACAAAAACTATCCTATCCAAAATAATAACGTCGCCAAAAACCCGAGTGTTACTACTATCGGAGAAGAGCGACTCAAAATAAAGAGACTCGAGCTAATCCTCGTCATCCTCGTGGATCACCTGCAAGTTACCAATATAAAGGCAACGGCGAAACAAGTAAAGGGTGAGATACTCCAAAACATATAGTTAAAGGCATGATAAAATATATAAATAGTTTTGGAATCATAAATGATATAGGATTAATAAGAATATGTCAACAAATATCAAAATCTCACATACTTTAAAATCATCATTTAGTGTATAAAATCAACACTTTAATTTCATCACATAATCCCCATAATCATATCAAAACAAAACATAAACTCCATCGCCATAAACTCATATCTTCGCTTTACCGTCATGTTATATTCATCGCTTACTCATCATGAGATCATCACATATATTCACTTTATGTTCAACACAAAAATCATCACAAAACAAAGTATCATATAACATCGCAATTCGTCATAAGCCATCAAATAAAACTCAACGCCAAAAGACTCAAACATAAATATAACCAACTCCATGAGACACGACTATGTTATGCATGTGGTATCCGTCGGTTTGTCCATAATTAGGGACATTTGGCATAAAGCTCATCCCCCCCCCCCCCCCCCCCCCCCATGGAACTTGTTCTTTCATTCCATTTCCAAAATAGAAAAAAAACCTGATACTTCATTTTCTTAATTCTAACTTATAACCTGCATAATTTATAAATTTTGAAAACTGACAGTTATACTTAAAATCTAATATAATCCAATTTTTCTTTTCTAAATTAATTTCCAACTTCCATTTTAATTAACATAACAAAAACCCAAAAACAACACCTAATTAACTCTTCTAATTTCTACCACAATTCCTCAACAAAACTCAAAAACCCTAACATCAATTTTTCCCCAAATCCAAAATATACCAAATCAAACCCTAATTATAAGCATTGGAAAATCAAACCCCTTACCTTAGATGTTTGAAATGATTCTTGATGTTCCAATCAACCCAAAACCCAAGCTTTGTTCTTGCTCCTCTTCTTCTCTTCCAAGACTCTCTCTAGCTCTCAAGGTGTGGTTTTGTGTTATGATACTTCTATCTCTCATAAAACAACAACTAATGCCTTTGTTTAGATTTTGGTCTTAAGACCATATAAAAATACCATACTACCCTCCACTAGTCTTACTAACCCAAAATATAATTCAAAAGACCACTTAATCAAAATAACTCTAAATAATTAAATATCGTTCCGAATAATATTTTACCGAACCGAACGGAATAAAAACCGGACCGAACAAAATAATTACCGGTCCCTCAAAATAAATACCGGACCAAATAAAATAATTACCCGTCCGAATAAAATGTCGCCGAATATATTAATATATATATATCGGTTAATATAAATATTCTCGTCGCAAAAATAAACGTCAAACGGTAACTCGAAAATATTAATATAATATAATATTAAATAAAACGGGGCGTTACAACTCTCCCCCACTAATAAAATTTTGTCCTCGAAATTACCTTACTCGAAAAGCTCAGGATAAGAATCCCGCATCTTGTTTTCCAGGTCCCACGTCGCAATTTCATCAGCTTCTCATATCCAAACAACTTTAACCAAGGAGATCTCTTTGCCACAAGGAGACTTTATCTCACGATCTTCGATCCTTAAAGGCATCGTCTCCACCGTAAGATTGTCTCGAACTTGAATATCATCCATCTCAATCACATGTGAAGGATCCGAAACATACTTCCGAAGTTGCGACACATGGAACATGTGATGCGGTGGGAGGAATGACTTGAGGTTTTGCGTTTTTTTGTTCGCAAATGTTTCGGTTTAGCAAGAGTCGCCACCGACTTTTATTTTATCCAAAAGGAAAGGTAAAAAAGAACAGGAAAGACCTTTGAGATTGTTTTTGGGTTTGGGGGGTAGGTTATGAAAAGGGAAGGTGCTAGCACCCTTTTCATCCATGGTTTTCCATGGGCTCTTAGTTACTTGTTTTAGATCACTTGCTTTGCTTTTCCAATTGTTTGAAATGGTGCTTTTGTGTGTGGTTTTGAAAGTATTTTGAAAAGAGGCCTTTGTTTAGGCAACCTTTGTAATGATTCTTATGTGAATGTATACAAAGGTGTTTGTCTTTTGAAAAATGTTTCAATGTTTGAAAGTTTGTTTGGAAAATGTTTTGAAATTGTGTATGTGTTTGTTTGAAAATAGCAATGATGGTTTGCAAATTGATCAAGTAACTAGGAGTTGTCTACCCTACTCAAAAGTCTTTCTTATGCATTTTTAACCCTTTGACATTGTTGTTTTACCATTGTATTTGGTAAACAACCCTATCTTTGGTTGTTAAACGGGATAGGCGTGGGTCATCGTATGACCATGATAACAATATTTCCAAGTATCTTGAGCAAGTTTTTGAGAGACTAGATCATTTTTATTTTAGGCAACCAAGATAGCATCATCGAGGGACTATGATCTTTTTGTTTTGTTTTGTTTTGCTAAGATACCTAGCATGCATACCATGGCCATTTTAAGGCAACAAAGTGGATGAAACCCTAGGGGTGCAAGTGTGCATTGTGTTGTCATTTTTAATGCATTTTTGTCTTGTAGTAAGTCATGCTATTTGTTTGATTTTGGTCTTTGCATACAAAACCCTAATCTTACCATCATGGTATATGAAAGCGATAAAATGCATAAAGTAAATCTAGATTATTACAACATTATTATGGGGAGGGGGTAAAAGTTTTGAATAGGGGATATTAAATAAAACGGGGCGTTACATCATCTAACAATTGTAAAAAAATAACTAAAAAATACTAAAAACGAACTACACAAGGGGTGTCAGCCTGAAACAGGTGGTGTTGTAGTAGTCTGGGCGTTAGGGCCCATCAGGTTAAAGCCATAAGCTATTTTTTTGTGTTTGGCTAATAGGCTTAAAAAATGCTAATGGGCTTAGGGAGAATACTGGTTTAGTATACCCATACATAAAGCCCAATTCGACTTTTACATTTTTAGCATATGTAATCAATTTTAATAATAGTTTAACAATTTATAATCATGAAAATTGAAGCAAAATGAAAAGTATAGTAAAATATAAAACAATGGAGTTTGGAAAAAAGAAAGGGTTCAGAAGTTTGTGGCTTTTGATCTTCACGAAAAAAATAGTTCTCCTTCACTAAACGGTGCCGAAAACGGAATTTCAATCTCACCTTTCTCTTGCGAACTTCCAATGCATCGCCGTCTTCTACTTCTGTTTCCTCTTCAATGTTCATTCAATTCCATTAACCTCTTCTCTGATCAACTCAAATTGAAACGATCGTCTTCTTCGAATGTGAACCGCGTTGTCTGCTTCTTTGTTCAATCTTCTTCGCAGATTTCCACCGTCGATCCTCTCAAATCCCAAATCGCAACGGCGGCTATCTTAACCTCCTAATCACCTTTGTTTCTTTATATCGAATAAAAAAATACCAACCCTAGGTTTCTCCAAGTCCCGATTAAACATTCATGATCAAATCTCTAAGCTCGATTCCATGGGAATTCGATCGTTCTCTTCTCACGCTACACAATCGTATAGAGAACCACCAAAAGCGATGAAGATTGAAGCATTTTCGATGAAGTTAATCTCATGTATTTTTGGTCTTCTCTTGTATCTTCTTCTTCCCTTCTACTTTCAGCCGTTGCTTTTGTTCGCATCTTCCGTTGCAATTTCCAGTGAATCTTGACGTTGCGACTTCGTCTCTGTTCTTGTATAAATATTGCGCTTGTTGTAATATGATTCATAGGATGAATCGAAGACGATGAAGATTGAAGATATTGAAGGATGAACATGATGGTGATTGAAGAATGGAGTGTGCATATGTGAAACCAATAATTCTCTGAGATGAAGATGATGATGCAAGTATTGTGGATGAAGATTTGTATATATAAAGAGAGTTGTCTCTTAGTTTTGTTGATGCTGTTGTTGTTGTTAACTGAAGTTGTGCAGAGAGAGAAGATGCAGATTGCAGGGTCTAAAGGTGAATTTCAGAGGTGGTTATGGTGATTTACGTGAAGCTTGAAGGTGATGATTGAAGATCGATGAAGAAGAGAGGTGAAGAGAGTGTTTTTGGTGATTCTTCAGGGTGTTGAAGAATGAATGAATCCAGGTAATCTTCTATTTTTATATTTCTGTTATAGCTGTTATAAGTTAGTTAGGAATTGGTTAGAGTTAGTTTGTTAAATCCTGTTAGAGAGTTTGATTCTTTTTCTGAAGTTTGTTACGAAGGATCCAATCTTAGCCCTCAGATCTTAGCAGTTTGTTATAAAAGGAACATGTGAGATGGATTTGATAGAGGTTAGAAAATTAGTTGACAGTTACTTACTAACTATTTTAAGGTAGGTTAAAGAATTTCAGTTTAGAAGTTGATTGCTGCTAACTGTTAGTAAGAAACAGTTTTAGGTTAGTTACAAAAAAGTTGTTAGTTAGAGATTGAGAGTTGGTTTTATTTTTTGTTAGGAAGTTTAAGAGCGATTAGCAATTTGTTAGTTGTTTGGACTTTGTTAACAGTTGGTTAGCCATTATGTTAAAGGTTGTTAGAGAGATGTGAGATGTTAGAAAGCTGATAGAGAGCTGAAGTTCTGTTGTAATGTGGTTAGGGAATTAGTTCTGTTATGGATAGTTGGAATTCTTTTTTTGGTTCGGTAAACTATTTTTTAGACAAAATTTTGTTGACTTCAGGGATGCTTTTCTGATTTTTGTAATTAGTTGATGGATTGAAGATGTTTATGAGCTGAACTGGTTTTTGTTAATTAGTTAATGCATGTATGGTTTTTGTGATATTTGGTTATAATTCCGCAGTTCATGGGTTAATACATCATGCGGGTTTGGAAATGTTGTGTCAAAGGTCTATGTTTCAAATTGGTTTGAATCATGAAGAATGTCAAAAAAGAAAGTTGGAACTCTAAAGGAAGAAATGCAAAGTAGGATGATCATTTGAAGAAGGGACTATATCGTGAACGCATCATAAAGAACAAGACTCATGGATACTTCTTTGGCTCATGGGAAGTAGACTTTTAGCAAGATGCAGTAGCTTAGAATATGAAATTTTTGTGTAATTTTCTTTGTATGTATACGATTTCGTTTTAAAATTTTAATGATTTTGGTATTTGGAAGATGAACGTGCTTTCATCTGGGACTGGCTTTATGTGTGCTTCAATGGCACCATGTACTTGTAATAGGATAAACCTTGTATTGTCTTGTAAGAAAATTTGTTCCATCTTGACTTTCTAGTTCGATCTTCTTTTCTTTTCCAATCTTTAAACTATTTCAAGTCTTGAATGATAATAAGTTGGTTTAAGCATGACTTTGTAATAAGCTACATGATACCTTGAACTTGTATTTGAACTTGAGAGAATGGAATCCACTTGAAAGGATTCACATGTCTTTTGAATGGGATTTGGAGAACCTTGTTTAGAACCTTAAATGATGTTTGATTATTTGAATGGACTCGAATCAATACTTGAATAATGAATTCCACGATGTTTGAATCAAGTTATGTACCTTTCATAGTTCCACCATAGTTGAACTCCAATTACATACTTGAAGTAATATTATCAATCAAAATCTTGGCTTTATGTTATCAAAAGGAAAATGAATCCAATACTTGCACTAACCATGACGCTTGCCTTATAACTCAAAACAAGATCTTGAATTAATACTTGGATCTTAATTAAATGTTACGTCGTGCTTGAATTTCATAGAAAAACCGGATTCAATGTTGAAGTTCATATTGTCCACACCTTGCACTCCAAGCCAAAGACACCTCTTTGAATAAAAAAAACTCAAAACCTTAATTGATTATGTTGTGGATAGATGAATCTAAACTATATTCTCTTTGTGCCAAGACCATGGTCTACACTTTATAGTCCAAGCCACAAATGCACCTTGAATTGATGAAATGTGGATCCTCAAGAAAAATATTAATGCACCTCTTGTATTGATTCCTGACAAATCAATTTGGATGCCACAGAGAATCCATAAACCAAAATATTGGATCATACCAATTGATTGCTTGGTAACACTGAATTCATAGCCCACATGATTGAACATCTCGCCACAATGGATTCAAAATGACTTCAACTTTTAATGAGCAAGAAACCAAATCAACCTCCCTTCTTGCTAAAATTTATAACTTCAAACTCAATTAAAACTCAAGAGACAAGTATTAAAAGAATGATGCCTGGAACATAATGAATCTTTAATTGAATTAACCAGTGCCAACACTACGAACATGAAACCTAATCCACTTAAGACGCATTTGAGATGTTGAGGGAATAAGACTCGAAGGATGCTCGAGATAGCCCCAGAGATACAACTATAATCCACTGAGTTTTAATTGATGGGATAATCATTCATAGTGAATATGAAACCAATGAACAACCAAACCCTAACTCCACAATTTTCCGCTTATAGAAGACTAGACAGGAGAACCAGAAGAAAGCAACCTTTATTTGATATGCAAGACTAATCATTGTAAAACCCTGATATTTCTACTTCACTGATCCTTTGAACCCATGATACTTTATTGAAACAAATGCATGCCATGTTAGTAACCTAATGAAAAGATGTGAATGCGACGCTAAACCTAATCCAAATAAAAGAAATTAGAAGGGCAAATTTTGGGGTGCAACAACTTCCCCTATTTAATCGCGTTCACCCTAAAGGTGATATTGGCGCTAGCCTTTCGAACATTTAAGGTGGAAGAAGATCAAATACTTAAAAGAACCCGAAAATTTACGCTCCGAAGTCAGTCAGGTATTATTATATTTTTTAGTCTTTTCTGTATATAAATTTTTGCTTTTTGGAATACAATAGTTATCTGGGTAAATTTCTTGGATGTCAGCTCAAAATTAGACACACAAGACAAAGATCAGATACTCAAGAAAAATATCCACTACAATGGACTCTATCAGAGAAATCTAACAAGAAAGAGACCTAACAAAGCGGACTCAATCGAAGGTGTCGGGAAAAGATGGGATCTCACAATGATTTTACCCAAAGATAACAGAGACAGATGAGACCTAATAAAGCAGGCTCAAATGAAACTATAAGAAATGGAAGGGATCTAACAAAGCGATCTTGACCAGAAATACAAAAGAAGGAAGAAGGACGAAATCTAACATAGTGATTTCGACCAAAGATATCAAGGAGGAAGAGACCTAACACAGTAGACTCGACCGAAGATATCAGAGATGGAAGAGATCTAACAAAGCGATCTCGATCAGATATATCAAGGAAGGAAGAAATCTAACACAGCGACTTCAACCAAAGATATCAAGGAGGAAGAGACCTAGAACAACAGACTCGACCGAAGATATCGGAGATGGAAGAGATCTAACAAAGCAATCTCAACAAGATATATCAAGGAAGGAAGAAATCTAACACAGTGATTTCAATCAAATATATCAAGGAAGAAGAGACCTAACACAACAGACTCGACCAAAGATATCAAAGATGGAATAGATCTAACAAAGTGATCTCGACCAGATATATCAAGGAAGGAATAAATCTAACACATCGATTTCAACCAAAGATATCGAAGAAGGAAGATACCTAACACAGTAGACTCAACCAAAGATATCAGAGATGGAAGAGATCTAACAAAGTGATCTCGACCAGATATATCAAGGAAGGAAGAAATCTAACACATCGACTTCAACCAAAGATATCAAGGAGGAAGAGACCTAACACATCAGACTCGACTGAAGATATCAGAGATGGAAGAGATCTAACAAAGTGATCTCGACTAGATATATCAAGGAAGGAAGAAATCTAACACAGTGATTTAAACCAAAGATATCAAGGAGGAAGAGACCTAACACAATGGACTCGACCAAAGATATAAGAGATGGAAGAGATCTAACAAAGTGATCTCGACCAAATATATCAAGGAAGGAAGAAATCTAACACAACAATTTCAACCAAAGATTTCGAAGAAGGAAGAGACCTAACACAGCGGACTCAACCAAAGATATCGGAGATGGAAGAGATCTAACAAAGCGATCTCAACCAGATATATCAAGGAAGGAATAAATCTAACACAGCCACTTCAACCAAAGATATCAAGAAGGAAGAGACCTAACACAGCGAAATCAACCGAAGATATCAAAGATGGAAGAGATCTAACAAAGAGATATCAACCGAATATATCAAGGAAGGATGAAATCTAACACATCAATTTCAACCAAAGATATCAAAGACGGAAGAGACCTAACATAGCAGACTCGACCGAAGATATCAGATACAGAAGAGATCTAACAAAGCAATCTCATCCAGATATATAAAGGAAGGAAGAAATCTAACACAGTGATTTCAACCAAAGATATCAAAGAAGGAAGACTAAATGTAGATAGACTCATGGAGAAAGAACACCAAATGAAGGCGAACTGGGGGTAAAATATACATGTCCGACCAAAGTTAAACACATATAAGAAAGAGACCGACTGAAGTAGACTCTTAACAGAGGACGTCGAAGGTAGACTTTCTAGGGATACCCCATGACAGATTCCTTTTAGGTAAACTGGGCAAGAACTTTGACCAAGGTAAATTCACAGAGAGCACCAAATCAAAGGCAAAATTTACAAGAGAAAGAAACCAGCCGAGGGGTACTTTGACAAGGATACCAACCGAGGATGGATTTAAGGGAAAAGAACTTATCGGGGATTCACATATGTCTTGAAGCCAAACAGAACGTCGGTCGAAGGTGGACTTGTGATTAGAAAAGGGAGACCCACTGTAGATGAAGATGTGAAAAACACAAGAAGGGGGGGTTGAATTGAAAACTTGGATCTAAAACAGCTTAATGACACAATATTTTTATCCTCGTTCGTTTGATCTC